CCTCACCAGCATCCGACCCACCCTCCGAGCTACCCTCCTCTGTCCGCCCCCTCCGCCCTCCCTTGCCTGCACCGCCCTTCCCCGCACCTCTGGTGGTCCCCTTGCTTGCACCCCTGCCCCGGCCTGCGCCCTTGTTCCCCTTCTGCCGTTTATTTCCAACCTTGCACCCCGACCTCGCACCCAGGTCGTCGTCATCACCGCCACCCCGCCTGCGCTTGCCAGCTGCGCCCTTAGCCGCTCTTGGCACCTCGCCGACCCACTCCTTGAACGCATCATAGTTGGTGGTATCCTCGTCCTGTGGTGGGGGGGGCAGCAACATCCAGTGCTTACGTTCAAGGTAAAATATCAGGGTAAGACCCAACAAGCTGCCCTGACATTGAAAGTTGACATAACCCATCAGCACCCCTCGACCTTGTTAAACATGCTCCCCAGGTTCCAAACTGCTAGGTTTTCTACCTGGGCAACGCCCGCCTCGCCCTGCCTGGGACCCGTGCCGGTGTCCCCCCCTGCGGTTGCTGCTGCTGCGACGCCTGCTGTGCGGCCGCCACCCGTGCCACCATCCACGGCATGCGTGCCCATGGCAGCAGCCTCTCCACCACCCACCGCCTGTTCGTGGTCCCCAGCGGCTGCTCTCGCTGCTGCACCATCACCGTCGTTAGCCGCAGTATCGACTGCCTCAGCTCCCACTGCGGCTGCCACAGCACCGTGGTCTGCAGTGATAGTCGACGGTCGCAGGATCTTGTCCAAGACCTTCTTCTGAAACTGCGTCATGAAGTTGCTGGTGGCGGTCGCCTTGCCAGGCGCGGGCCCGCCAATGGCCAGGCCCTCCTGGCTGATCCCAAACAGCCTTTGAAGTAATACATTGCATTCTGCTCCTTGAACATGCTAGCTGATATCATGTTACCTCCCAGCTCAAAACTAAGCGGTATCACGTTTAGGCTCTGATGTTCATAGGAATCCCCTAAAGCACACCAGAGTTCAATACTTCCGGGAAAGTCTTGTTCCATTTTCCAGCTTATGGAACTATAGAGTTGCACTTGTTCAGGTCAAGATGGCGCGGAAGCTATTGGTCCGTCCTGTATCCTAGAGTCGTGGCTAGTGTAAGCTGTATCAGGTATAACAATGGAATACAAGAACATAGACAGCGAGGCAGGTCATGATAAGACTTGGCTGATGACATGCAAGTATACAAGTACGGCGCCCATACTAGAATACCGCCAGCTCGCCATCAGTACTATCTCTGCGAGGTTCGCGTGGACCTTCGTTTCTTTTCGCTGTTCGATCTGTTCTGTGTATCCCTGCGAGTGGCCCACCGGCACGCTCATTGAGGGGCTTCTGTGGGTAGAGGCTGCTTCGTTAACATTCGGCCCCGTCTACCCCAAGGTGTTTTCCCGCCCTGGGTACAAGGAGCTACTGGCGGCTGACCTCACAGGGCCCCCCGTCTTGTAGAGGGCCATACACAAGCTTGCCTTAAGGCGGCAAATCAGGTGGCCTTGTGATGATGGGGATTGAAGATGGAGGGGGCGGGTTCACGTGTGTGTCGCATTAATTCAGAGTACCGGCTGCCAGGGCTGATTAGGGTGAATACCCAATGGGAGGCTTATTGTCTTAAACCCTTTGTGTGGTCTGGGTGGTTCCAAAAGGGTTACAAGGCAGCCGGCTCATACCGGCACAAGTCTCAAGGATGGTTGCAGAAGGATACACTGTATCCGCTCGACGACTGCATGCTCGGAGGGGAATGTGCTGTCAGTAGAGAAGCTGGTGGCATGGGTGGAGAAGAAACACATGGAAGCGAAGGCATGGGCGACAATGATGGCTGACACGTGTGTTAATTCGGTCACAATTGTAACCCTTTTGG